CAACATTAGCCACCTTTAGCTTAGCGGTGGTGACATGAAGTCATGTGACAGTGCTGTAGTTCCTTTACAGCCCAACATTAACCGCCTTTAGCTTAGCGGTGGTGACATGAAGTCATGTGACCGTGCTGTAGTTCCTTTATAGCCCAACATTAGCCGCCTTTAGCTCAGCGGTGGTGACGTGAAGTCATGTGACCGTGCTGTAGTTCCTTTATAGCCCAACATTAGCCACCTTTAGCTTAGCGGTGGTGACATGAAGTCATGTGACCGTGCTGTAGTTCCTTTATAGCCCAATGTTAGCTTTGTACTGCTGAACAAAACGTGTAAGTATCATAAACGTTTGTTTGACACAGAGATTATTTTCTGCATAATCCAAAGTACACAATGCTACCTTCAGGGTCGGCCTACAAAAATATGTCATCTCTGCACCACTCCACATCGCCACCCTGTCCCTCTAACAGCACCACAAATAGCTTTAAACCAGTGCAGGACGTTTTCTCTCCACCAGCCTACAGGAGCAAAGCAGCAACCTTGACAAAAACCTAATTACCAACTGCACACAAAAAAAGCCCTACAGAACATGTCCATTTTATAATTATTGAGTCATTGGAGAATGTGCAAGCCGACCTCAATTAAGACAAGCGTGTGAGAACGTGTAATTTAAATGTAATCAGTGGAAAAGCAGCAGAGTAAGCTAATCTAGGGCAAGAACAACAACTTCTGCACGCTCTAAGCTCCTTCCTGCAGAATAGAAAATCAATGCCACAGGTAGCAAATTTAAATAATGATTAAGCTAAGTGCTGCGGGGAGTGGGGGGGGGGATGCATCCACACATTGTGTCCACAGTTTAAGACCTCTCTCCGATCTCCTTCAGCTCCCAGGGTTTAAGGGAGGATGTCGTTCAGCGGGTTTTAAATGCCTGACTGCACTGACCACACACAAACAACACGCCGATTCTTCAACCACTTCTTTTTTTGTCTTTTTGGAAGTAAAAACCCATCTCAGAACTGTGACTTCACCCTTTTTTTGTTTGGCTTTTCTAGATCTTGTAACAGGCCACAGTTATTTCTCCCTCATTTAAGATTCTTGTAATCCTGCTAAAGCAATAACCCCAACATTTTTGCTTTTGTCGTGGAGCAGAGGCATTTTCTAAAAGATAAATGCTTTGTTTCTAAGCCGACTTCTCGAAGCAATGCGCTACTTTTCCCGATGATTCAATCACAGTTAATTAGCGCGGAGCAGATGCGGTGCGTTTAATGATTGCTGATTTAATCCAGAGTCAGGTAAATGACACTGAATGAATCAATGCAGCACATTTCACCCAGCCAATCCCAGATAAACCTCATCAGGAAAGCAGCACATCCTCCTGCCTTTCATGGAAATGTGGACGTTTTAGTTTTTTTTGTAGGAACTCAGTTTTTGAAGAGCCAGCCTTCAATCGGAAAAAAGAATCCCTTCATTCTTGTACAAACAAACTCAAGAGGACTACCTTTTATAAATGTCTCTGCTACTGTTTGAAGGTGTCAGTTAGAGGATGTAGCAGATCCCGATGGATAGTCTTTTCAGGCCTGTGTTTGTTTTAGATATCCCAAAGCCTTAGCAATGCATGCACATGTGCTGAAGGGCCAGATGGGTCCAAACAGGACGCCTCGTCCAATCAGCCGAAGATCTTCCTGGCAACGGCTCAAAGAGAAGAAACCCAGTGTGTTTTCCTCAGTGTCAACGTAAAGGCAGCAGAAACACAGGAACAGCCGAACAACAGAAAAGAGAGATTGGCTCCTCCTCGCTGTGCTACTCATTCTTTGGGGGGGTCGTCCAGTCTTAAAACAAAGCAGCTTGGTTCTCAGCAGCTCACCGTGCTCGGCTGCTGTTTGCACACAAAGTCTGAAATAAAGTCGAACTCATTCTGTCCCAGGTAGAGCTCGGGCAGCTCCTGAACGCGGTCCAACCCGAACTCCAGCACCAGCGACGTCAGCACCTCCTCGTCGATCAGATCCATGTCAGTGTTTTGTCCCTGAGGTCCTCCGAGGTGCTGCATGCCTGAATGAAGCTGCGCCGGATTCACCCGGTACTGAGCTCCGTTCTGCATGTGGTGACCGTTCGAAGCCAGAGGGTGTCCGTGGTACTGCGTGTTGAGTTTCTGCAGGTGCATGCTGGCCATCAGCTGCTGGGAGGTGAGGTTTCCGGGGATGTACTGCTGTGGGTGTCCCTGTTGTTGTGGATGCCCTCTGTTGCTGTTGCTGTGGTTGTTGTTGTTGTTGTTGTTGTGGGTGTCCCTGTTGTGGTTGTTGTTGTTGTTGTGGATGCCCCTGTTGCTGTTGTTGTTGTTGTTGTTGTTGTTGTTGTTGTTGGGGGTGCATGTGGTGCTGCTGCTGCTGCTGCTGCCCGTTGTACATCATGTTCCCGGACATCATCTGGTGGTGGTGGTTGGCCATCGGAGCAGCGTTCACGGGGGCCATGCCTCCGGGGCCCACCATGGCCTGCCGCTGCCTCATGGCGGCCTCCATGTTGCTCTGAGGGTTTCTCCCATAATGCATCACCTGGCCGTTGTGCATTGTGCGCAGGCCGGGCTGACCCTGGTGCTGCGGGGGTCCGTTCATGCCCATCCTGAAGCCGTGCTGCATGGGCATCATCATGTGTTCAGCCATGGCTTCTATCGCCCTGGAAAAAAAATGACACAGGAAATTAGATTTCAAATATAACCCATTATAATTACAATATGCATTATGCCTAAAATACCCATTATTTAAAGGGGCCCAGTTCTGCTTTTTGGGGTTTTCCCCCTCTCTTGTCAGGTGTTATATAGGTTTTAATGCATGTAAATGGTCCCCCCACCCACCCACTGCCTGAAACGCCTCCATTGGATCGCTAAGCGGTCGACCAATCACAACAGAGCCGGCCAGCTAACCAATCAGAGCAGACTGGGCTCTGGTTTCAGACAGAGGGTGAACAGAGGTGCTGCAGCACAGGCAGTATGAGAAAAATAAAGAGCTTTCTGAACATTAAAGCATGGAGACATGTCCCAGTAGAGACACTACATACTGATATACACCTGAACATCCGCGGAATATGTCCTCTTTAAATGGGCCAATTCACAATTTCCCTCATGAAGTGCAGCCTACTCAACACCAGGAGTGCTACTCAGCCTGGTTTCATGATGTTCTGTGTTATATCGTACTAAAGTGAATATCTTGGGACTTTGATCATTTTCTGACATCTTATAGACCAAACTATTAAACCAGGAAGTTATCCACAGATTAATTCATGAAGGATGATAACTGTGAGTTGCATATCAAAAGGGCTTTACAATATAGACAAGACCCTATGGGACATTTCACTATTAGAATAGTTGAAATGTTCTTGTTCTGCCCCAAAAGACCCTTAAACATGAGTGAAACATACTTTTAGTATTATTTGTATATGACAGAAAGATGAAAAAACGATATCTTAACTGCACAAGATTATCCAATAAATGTCAGAAACACCCCTAAAAAATGAGGAGACTGCACTGTTCAGAACATTAAAAACATTACAGTCGGCCATGTTTTTTTTTTCAATTTGTGTTGTGAGCCTGGAAAGCTAAGATATGAAAATTAGAACATTTGACCAGAAAGAAAAATGAAATCCGAGTTGTCCAAATTGCAGAATTAGGATCATTTAAACACTGCAAAAATCAAAAACATAAATTGACTAATCAAATGAATGCCATACATCCCCCAAAGCCTTCGATGTCACCAGGGTTTCCTGAGTTTGCTTGATGTTTTAAACCACATTTTCATCACAAATATGAGCATTTAAGAGGTATGGACGATCAAACAAGGAAACAGCCACTATCCAATTGCATTATAGGAAATGCAGTATCCAATGTCTTGGGATTTTTACCCAAACTTGAGTAAAATATCTCAGCTTCAATTCAAGCCACTAAATACTAAACTACTGGAGTTACCCTTTAAATACACTCAATCTCTGTTGAAACTCCTTCTCTAGTTTCTATTTCTCTTCTTGAACCACATCAGAAGTGTCCTTTTTTTCAAACACTAATCTCTAACCTCCACACCAGTGGGTGTATTATCACACCGACGAGGGAGGGCAGTAATACCCTTGCTTACAGCCAAAAGGACGCAGAGGAATGCTCCCCCTCCCCAAACCAGTCATTACAAAAAGATCCTCAATTAAGATTACCAACAGATGACAAACAGATCACACTGAAACTCTAATGTGCTGTGATTGGCTTGTTAAAGCGTTAAGCGATGTTAGCTGATAAAACAAGACACTTCCCTGTCCAATAAAACCCCGATAAAATCATGCTCTGGAGCTTCTCATTCAGACACTTTTGAAAAAATTACAATATAACACAAGCATGAAACCATGTAACGGTACAAGGTGAAATCTAATCATTATTTTATGATCCTCCAAAATGTACGGTTTCTGCCTCTTCACCGCTTCAATTGAATCATTTTGGCTGATAAAACAAGACACTTCCACCTCCAACAACAGACTAAATCCTCCTTAAAATCATGCTCTGGAGCTTCTCATTCATCCGCTTTGTAAATTACGTGAAGCATGAAACCTCTTTTTTCCCTGCAAGGTGAAATTCATTACTTTATGATCCTCCAAAAATGAACAGTTTTTTTACCCCTGAACCGATTAAAGCAATTGAATCCTTTTAGCTGATTTGTACATTTCCCTGCTGTGGGACAAATAAAGGAATTCTGATTCTGATAAAACAAGACACTTCCAGATCCAGTAACAGCCTAAAGTCCTCCTAGAAATGATCTGATTCAGCCACTTTGCAAATGACATTATTAAACAAGCTGCCATGTAACGCTGCAAGGTGAAATCCAATCATTACTTTATGATCCCCCCCAACAAAATTAATTGTGTTTCTACCGCTGAATGCTTGGAGCAATAACAGCCTAAAATCCCCCTTAAAAGCATGTTCTTGTTACCTAATTATATCGCTTTTAAATCCCACGAAAGGGAACTGTGTTTCCCTTACTGCTTGAATCAATTGAATCATTTTTAGCTGATAAATCCTCCTTAAATCAGGCTCTAATGTTACCTAATTATATCCGTGTAGCTTCTCATTCAGCCACTTTGTAAATGACATGAAACCATGTAACGCTGCAAGGTGAAATCCAATCATTACATAAAACAGTCCGCGGTGCGAAACCCTGTTTAAGGAGGAAACACAGGAATAAAACAGCACCTACCCGATGTTTAAATGTGGATTTTTGGAGAAGTTTCCGTAACGGAGGGGGGGTCTCTGTGCAGCTGGTGATCCGGCTACATGCAGCCCTGCAGCGGATAGGAACTGTGCGGCGTCTCGGCAGTCAGTTTGTTTTCTGGGTCAACTCAGGGATTATATGCATGTGGTATAAAGCCGAGAGAGGGAGAGATAGGGAGGGAGAGAGGAGGAGCCAGCGTCCCTCTTCTCTCCTTTGTTGCCATTGGTCCTCCCCCTTAATCACTGAGCAAAGAAACACTCACTCTAACCTCCACTGATCCTCCGAGCAGCAGATCACTGTGACCGGGGGAGAGAGATCTGTGTCCGGGGAGAGAGCTTCCTCTAACCCGGCGGCCTTCACCACCCTCTCGCTGTAATGATCCATAATGATCCATACTGTGTTACCGCCGGAAATATGTCTGTTTATGTTGCAGCTGGGATCATGTTTAACGACCACTTCCTGCTCCTGAGAAATGATATGTTGACATGTTGCATTACACTGGAGTTGATATGAACACTCCAACAAACTCTTACTAATTTTTTAACATAATTTCAAAATCCTTTACAGAACAATACAATAGACATATAAAACCAACAATAACATACATAAAATCATGGAACATAAGACCTGATAAGAAGAGAAACAACTTACAATATCTGACATATCAAGTAAGAACTCATATTGAATACCAAATATTAAACCTATTTACACCTCCAGTTGAATAGGCTGCTGGCTGTGACTGAAAGCTATGTTGCATGACACCAAAACAACAAGCTAAAAGAGGCTAAAAAGCTTCATAAAGTTGTGCGAAAGTGCTGAAGTTAAGTGATCATTCTCAGTAGGTTTAATAACACCTTTCCCTTTACAAATGTGATCCATTATTCAATCATCAGGATCCATTATTTATCCCAAAACGGGGACATTTACATTGTAACGGGAAAGGGACGGTGTGGATAAGAGGAACACACAATCAGTAGACTAACAAATCAAATAAGTACATGCAAAAAAGTAAACTCAGCTTTAATAATCATGTTTTCTAGTCCAAAACTTGATTTACCGTTCTCCCAAGATATTTCTGTGCTATGTTATTAGTAAGCGTTTGCTGCAGAGACTCAGAGGAACACGTCTTGTGTAAACTTCAATTAAGTTGGATTGGACATTGATTGAATATCCGCAGGGTTAAAGTGTTATGTATAAAAAAATCTATACAGGTATAAAATAAACAACCTTATCGACCAGAGGGAAACAATTGCCAATGAACATTATCGCTGCAGCATTTACATTCCCTTCAGGAAGTGTTAAGCAAAACCACTTGGTGTAAATATGTTATTTTTAGCAGATTGCACAAGCACACTGTAGAAGCCAAAACCAGAAATGTGATGACACAACAGAAAATCCCACAAAATACAACTGTGGTGGTTTGGAAGAAATGCCAACATTACCCAAGCAAAATTGTTTTTGTCTTGGGGATTTTTATGGAAATTACAATTAGAATTTATCAAGATTAAAGAGTATCTTGAAACTTTTTAACAATTTATCTGTCACCTATGTGCCGCTCCAATATCAATGGTTAACTTGGCAGTGAAATATTTACAATCCAAAGGTTAGACATCCTCAAAATAGTGCTTTCACGTGATTTATTACCACTATCTGAAAACATACTTACATTGAAATACACTGCACTTCTGTGGGCTATAACTGCCCTTACTAAATGAAAAAATCCTGTTTTCTTTTAGCTCAGAGAGACTCTGTCCCCAAGAACATTTCAATTTTGGCTTCATTTTCATGGAGTTAAAAAAGGTTATGTTTGAAACAACAAAAATGGCATAAGCTTCCTCCTTCAAAATAGAGCAATAAAAGGCCCCACAGTCAATTAAATCCACTTTTGCTGCACCAGTCTAACTCGATACTAAAATTGCTTTTTGAAGCTGTAGGGATCTTGACACATAGGCTATTCAACCTTCCTGTTGACGAGTAATATTTGACACTGTCGGCAGGTGAAGGTTTCCTGTCAACAGTGTCACTGACATCTATATAGTGAAGGTCTAAGGTATTTTCTTTAGTCACATAACCACATAACTGGAAGCCATGACTAGATTGCCAATTATACTCTTTTAAAGTTTGTTTCCGAAAGTGTTATAAAGACTTTAGTGTCGCCAAAACAAGCTGTGTGACGCCCCAAAAACTAAAGGTTTACAAAGTTCAACTCAAAACAATTATTTGGACTAAAAGAAGTGACTTTATCAGAAATATGTAACTAGCTGCTCCTTTCTGCAGACTAGAGGTGTAAGGCATTAGGACAGATGGAAGACTGACTGAACTGTTTGCAGTCCAGTTGCATTGAAGAAAAATACATGGAAATCAAAAGGATATCTGCTGCTGGTGACTATTTTGTAACTGTACATTGTAGGTCCGACAATGATATTGGAATGCAATGATACAATGCTAAATAAATGCTGTATAATATCACTATAAGAATTATAATAGCAAGCCTATCTGAAATAAAAACGGTATTTCCTGGAATGGCCACTTGAGGCTGGCTGTTAAAATTCCCAACTGTACAGCAGAAATAGACATGTTTACAGCCAGGTACAAAAAGCTGTTATGGTCTCTATCGCTGATTTCCCTGTTCATGACTACTGTACGGTGGTGAAATGTAATATAACTCAGCCGTTTAAATTGTGTTAAGACTTAACGTGTCTGCTTTAGGTGACACTGATCTTGACCATGATTTTGACCCAAACCGTAAATTGCATCTTAATCACAGACATAATATGGCTTGTTGTATTTTAACTGTACCAACACTGATCTTGACCATGATTTTGACCCAAACCGTAAATTGCATCTTAATCACAGACATAATATGGCTTGTTGTATTTTAACTGTACCAACCAACTGTCAATGAACCATGATTTTGACCCAAACCGTAAATTGCATCTTAATCACAGACATAATATGGCTTGTTGTATTTTAACTGTACCAACCAACTGTCAATGAAGTCTGCGCCCCGGTGAGTAAAGTTATTATTTCATTTAGGCCTTTACGTTAGCATTAGCAGGTTGTGGTGTCTGCGCTCATTATACCTGGCTTGTTAGCTTAGCTGTTGTACTAAAAACACACACAAAGATGAGGGTTGTTTATTTATTCAATGAAACACATCAGAATCACACCAATTATTTTGTTAACCAACAATATAAAACAATAGAATTTCACAATTAATATCACATTTAACATGAACTAGGGACACTTTGATAACCTAGCTAGTTAGCGCTAGCTTGTAAAGGTTTGTTATGCTAACGGCAACTAACGTCCATGTACCTCAAATGTGTACTTGAGTAGAGTACTAAGTTGAGTCAATGTATTTAGTAACTTTCCACCACTGCATCTTTATAATATTATATTTTAAAGACTGTCATTCTCTCTGAAGTGCTGCTGCAATCAAACAGAGTAAAAACGTCCCCACCCAGCCTGATGGTAATACCTTTTATATAAACAGTCATTGGTTAATACTAGTTTACATCTGAGAAACAAAAGGAAATCAAAGGCAGTAATCCACACAGCAATCTGCCAACAACATCAACATCTCTTCAATGGAGAGCATTTTAAATCTTTAAGACTAACCCACTTACCACTACTTAAGTACGGTTTGAGCATTATAGTCGGCTAATCCTTTAAACAAGAGTATCAGAAGAGTTTTGCAGTCATAGACCGACCACATTTATCTATTTCTCAGTCACCTAAATACAGAAATCTACCCAAAAAATATTTAGTTTCTTAGGTTATTTAGTTATCTTCAAACAACATTACATTACATGTTACTTGTTAGATGCTTTTATCCAAAGCGATTTACATACTCAATACTGTGGACAATCCCCAAACCCCCCATCAATTTAGCCAAAATTAAGGCTATTAAAAAGTATGAAACGGCATTTTCCAAGGTATTCTATTTTGTAGCTTGTTTTCAATAAGTTGTGGTGATTGACATTATTCACCCACGGAACTATGGGTTGGGGTATTGTTCCGCACGGACATAGTGAGTTGACCGGACCCTTGTTTCCCCCGGTCTGTTCTTCCCGGGCTAAAAGCTGTTTTACATGTTGACCTGATGTTAAATAAAAGTCTAGCTTGTACCTTCGATACCCCGCCTCCGACTCCCGTCTCTCGGCACTACATTGGTGACCCCGACATAAGTCTCGTAGAAGGATCCGAGACTGAACCGAGCTCAGCGGTGGTGACGTGAAGTCNGGGAAATGCAAGTCTGCGTCCAAATGGTTGGAAGATAAGGAGGAAGGACAATCAATACTGTATATAGTCAATGTGAGGTAAAGTGTGTCGCCAAGGTAACCGGTTAAAACTCCAAGTGGCGATGAGGTCTTAAAATGTATGGAAAGGGTCTTAAAAAAGGTCTTAAATTAGACTCCAGGATTCCTGCTATACCCTGTGACTGCAGTGGGATTTGACCCTGTGCTCCCCTGATACGAACAACAACATACTATTCCACTACGCCACGGCCTCCCTACAACAAGCACAATACAAGTGAATCCACTTTAGAGTCTATCCCTCTGTTTTATGTGGAAAAACTGTGAATGACAGGAAGAAATTGAGTGAAAGATCAGATTCACTTCCCTGCCTCGTGCACCAGATTTGAGTTTTGAGTCAATTTCGCAGAAACAAACCCCCCGTGGAGCTAACTATCCCTTAAACACTTATGCAACCAACTCATTTATGTGTAACAAAATCAATTAAAATCTTTTTACTCAGGGTTTTAAACAAAGGTCGAGGGTCAGGGGCCCTTCAAGGGGTACCAGACAGGCATAATGGTGGAGGAACAGAAGGCTACAGGAAAACAGCATAAGCATATTGCATAGCTTGATATGAAATCTGACTTTTAAAAGTATGGTTTCTGGCTTTGAAACACTATATTTAGTGTTATATATCATTACAAATAAAAATGTGAAATTCCAAAATAGGTGAAAATATAATTGAAAGTATAGTATCTTTGGTTAGTCTGGCTGCTGGTTCCTAGCAATGAAAACAAATAGAAATTCAATATGCATTTATTTTTATTTTACCAACATTAGTTGCTGTTTAGCACACGTTACATATTTTTTTGGGATTACAGATAGCTTCAGTTATTTAG